TGGAACGAAGAAGATATTTAATTCTCTTTATTAGGAAATCGTTGGTGACGTCTGAAGAAGACCCAGCATCACTCATGGCTAAGGAAGTGACAGAAAATATACAATTAATAGACACTCGGCACAGAAGATTTTTTCGCCTCTTAGGAACTGGAATTCCTTTTCCTTTTTGTCACCCAGAAGGAGCTCGCTTGGGGTCTGTACAAAATCAAGAATGTGATTCTGCATTGTGTACTACAAACGAAATGCAATATTTTGAGGAGAAAACGAATTTTCAGCAGTGCAGCCCACAAGACAAAGCGTTTGATTCGGTTGCTTGCAATTGGTTCGCTGTAGGTTTGCGGTCTGAATCAATTGACAATTTTGTATTATATTGACTGTTGATCCAATCGGAACCCACAAAAGTCAGTGGTGATGGAAGTTGAATTAAATCGAGACAAAGGATCGAAGTCTAATCTAGGGTTATGATCGTCACTTAACCGATCTATTGGTTCTAATTTTTTTATCGTATACCTTTTTCAGTTTATGTAAGGTTGAAATTACATGTAACCGATTAGCTGTCGTCAACGATTTTTCTTCTACATAATTTTTTTAAGTCTTATTATCTCTGAGCTTCGTGATTCCACCACAAAATCACAATGATCAATAAAATACTTTTATCAGTCGACCAATTTCACGTCTTAAGTTTCCCTAGTTCCCTGTTTGTTGGTTCCATCTTACGTTTGCATTTTATAAAAACTACTTAATGTGTGCAAGACACCCAGTTTGTCGAAGAAAAGAATGCCCAATGACCGAAACACTCTGATCCACCAGATTCTTTTACTGCAGTAAAGGCCTCTGTCTTATAGCTCAAATGAAATGTCTAGCTAGTGTGTTGGGATGGAAGCTATGTAACAGGGTGTGAAATGTGCATTAGGGCGTAGGGTCTCGTGGGGCCTATTTAATTGACAAAGTTGGGATAAAGAGAACTTGGAAAAGCCTAATTCATGTTATCGTTTGACTCTGGTCACAAGGTTTGTGGTTTTACTCCCACTAAATACCGTTCAAGCCGGAGGCGCTGAACGAGTTACAGTAACGTTCTTATATCGTCACATTGAAATATTGGAACACTTGGAGCATTCTGCAATTTGGACTAGAAGCATTCTCATTGAAATACTGAAACACTGGAACACTAGAAGCATTCTCAATCTTGCTTGCCACTACTCAGTGAAAGTATTGGAATTATTAAAAGTTTTGGTTGCTACTACTCAGCGAAAGTATTGGAATTATTAAAAGCTTTGGTTTCTACTACTCCGCAAAAGTATTGGAATTATCAAAAGTTGTGGTTGCTACTACTCCACGAAAGTATTGGAATTATCAGAAGTTTGCATCTTGTTTTAACAAGATGCAAAGTATTTTGGTTATCGCTTCACCTTGTATTACTTAGTTATATTTATTGCGGTAATTAAATTGGTAAGTATGACTGAAAACGTAGCATCAAGAAGATGTTGAACGCATAGCATACAGATTTTTACAGCTGATTCCCTCACTCGTGCTGAGGCTATTTTCATTTCTTCAAATTTGATTAGGTATAATTGTTTTCCTCAGTTAAAACTAACCTTCCACCACCTGTGAAAAAGCTGCAACCAGATGATTGTTGTTGACCGAAATGTTGAGGTTCAGGCTGTGAAGGAGTTGCAATAGAATACCGTCGAAGCTGCATGGCTCTAGAACATATATTAAAATAACGTATATTATTAYCTTTAAGAACCTGTTTTAAGCAGCATTAAATGACAGGGAATAAAAGAATCATGTATTAAAACTGGAATATTATGACTTGCCAGAGCACGTTTTTGTCACAAGGGTTTTAAGGAAGCTTAGATTCTTATTACTCATCAAAATCTTCATTATTTTGAATCGTTATCTATTGTCGTTATCGTTATCTACTAGTTTGCTCATTCTCTTGCCGTTCTCTTGCAGCCGATTACTAAACGTTTATGATTTGACTGCTATCATATGATATAATAACGCGAAAATTATTCATTTCTTATTGATCTCTAATACTCCTGTAAGGAATATAGTGTGCCTGCCATTTTTTTATGACAACGTTTTAGCAATTGGTTGTGTATACATACGAGGGCAGTTAACAGAGTTACAGTCGCGGTACTCTTGTCTTGGTCCAAGACAGCCCTTTCTGCTATTACAGTTAAGTCTTCTTGTTTGTTTACCATTATGGCCACAAACTTGATCACAAGCTGTCCAGGGTCCATATTTCGACCCTTTGCCATAACCTGAAATAATTAAGTTTAAATTACTTGAAATTACACATTTGTCCATAACTTATTGCTTAAACCCCCTTTAAATGTTGTAGTTAGTAGTCGACGGTTTGCTGCCGGTCCGGTTACAACATTAGCGACCTTTAGCACCGACRATTTCTGCGACGGCAACGTTAACCGGAAGTGAAATCTACTTCCGGTCAACGTTCTACATTTTGGCGGGCTGCCGTTGCAGCTTTGCGCGGACGTCAAAAGTGCAGGTTTGCCGTTCTGGAGAAAACGTGAGTATTATTTCGTTTGTTAACCTTAAAATTCCTGTTTATTTATTGTTTATTCAGCTTTTTTTCAGGCAAAGCAGTTTAAGAAACTATCACATAACATGATTCGGACTTTTTTTATTAAATAGCAGCAATTTTAGCAGTTGAAAAAAAGTTGAAAATGTCCTATGTTGTCTTTCAGGTCAGACAGCTTACTTACTTGTGAGCGAGATTGTGAGCGATGTCCACGACCACAACAAAAACTCTGTTAAAGTAAGGAAGCTTTAAAAGCACGAATKTTCAATAATTTTCTATCAATCTTTATCTGTAAACTATTGATGAGCTTCTGCCTCCAGCTATAACTTACTTAAATTGTTTTTTCAGCCCGGCGAAAGCTTTGAGTTTTTCGACAATCTGCTCTAAAAATTATGATGTAGTTTACATGTTGTTCAGGATGCTTTACCAAATTATCGTTTGTCTTTCATCTGTAGATCATCGATGGAGTGGACAGAAGACCATGATATCTTAATGCTAAGAGAAATGCTTGCTTGCGAGATTTTCTCGTTTAAAAAAGGTAGCGTTAGTCGAATCGAAACCTGGGAAAATATCATRGCCAACCTTAACAGGATAGAGTCGCCACAATTCAGGATCAAAGATAAGAGAGCAATCAGGGACAGATGGCAATTACTAAGCCGAAAGTACAAAGCTAAAACAAGAGATGAAGAGGCCGCCAGTGGTATCTCAGTCGACGAACCTTCAGAAAAAGAAGTTCTGATAGAGGAACTACTGGATAGGGAAAACACCACAGCAAGCCAAGAGTCCGCCGCTTCAAAAGCGACGAAAGACAAAGACCAAGCCGAAGAAGCGAGGAAGTCAGCGATGGAAAGAATGCGGCAAAATAAGCGCAAGCAGAAGTTAAGTGATGATGAAGATGAAAAACCGAAAAAATCCAAAAAAAGATGTGCACAGCCGCTTGTAGAGTTCCTAAAAGAGAAAGCGAGCGAAGATCGTGAGTTGCGCGAGGCGGAGATGGAGCTGAAGAAAAAAGAACAAGAAAATCAGAACAATCTGATGAAAAGTATGCTAGAAAATCASCATCAATTGAATAGCAGTTTTGTGGATGTGCTTAAAAAATTTCTGTCAAAAGATTAGAATAAGGTAAAAATTAWTTTTGATGATCAATTTGTATTGTATTGGAGTGCTTTTGACTTGTAAAATGTGTTAATTTATCATTGAGAATATTTTCATGATTGGATATTTTATTACACATGCATGCATCTTGTTTAAATTTTACGAATAAATATATTTTAAATTGAATGTTTTCGCCTTCATTTATTGGAAATAATCTTCTAGCACTGGGGGTGCCAGGTCAAAAAACTGTGAAGTCGAATTAGGATAAAGGCARGTTATAGCATTACGAATTAATGCACAGACTATGTACATTTTCCCTACACTACTTAATTGAAGTTTTAGGTTCTTTTTGAAGTCAAGAAATTTAAATGAATTAATAATATCTCCGAAAAGCCATTCTACTGAAACACRGACGGAACTCATTGAGGCATTGTAGTCTTTCATTTGTTGCGTGATCTGGCCATGGYGAAATGGAGTTTGCAAATGATTCCTTAAGGGGTATGCGGGATCTCCATAAACACACATTTGGGCACCAGTGGTTGAATAAGCAAACTGACGTAGATCATTCAGTAGTCCTGAATCTGCTAACATCCCTGCATCGTGTTTTCTTCCCTCTGAAAAAAAATTACGGTTCTTGTTCAATATCAAGATTGCGTATGCACAGTTATTTTTCTTTTATGGAACATGTATTATTGAATAATAATTGCATCGTTTTCAAGTATAATTGTTTGTATACGATCAGTATCTAATGTTATGAATAGTATACATACCTACAGGGCCAAAAATATTTCCAATCAATCCATTTGGCAATGCAACTGATTGGAATTTTAGGGCATGAACACGTTTGTGCCCATTGTAAACCACTCTCTGTAATTGACCTGGTCGACATATGGGTCGTACAGTTCCGTCGATGAAACCAAAGCAGTTTTGAAGTGGCGAGCCTTTAGCTGATATARCATCGGCATAACTTTGAAGGGCTTGGGGGTTGAGTATGTAATGATTCCACTGAGTGATTAAATGACCATAGTTATCATATATAAAATCCATTGTTTCGTTTGTAATCATGCTCAACACGGACACTGGCCGTGGAAAATGAGGAATGATATCGCTGTATCTACATGGATACGCCATTCGTTTTAACAGCATGCACAGAGCCTMAGTGCTATCACATATACTTCTTTGTGGGCATCTTAATACTGGAGGGAGTCCCAAGACTTGAGCAAGACGAGGAATGTCTGCTTTTTCAACTCGAAACTCTGCTTTGCATTGGTCTGAATTATAKTTATCCAAATCAAATGGCTCGTAGGATTCGTAGTTGAAATSAGGATTTTTAGATTTGTAGCAGTCGTAAAGCAAGATAAATTCTTCGTCTGAAATAATGTTATCACAGTAGCTTAAAAGAAGAAGGTCTCGAATATCTTTAAAGCGACTCATCGCCAAAGTGATAAAAGTTAAAAAGCTACTGCKGCGAAGCCAAAGCAAATTGCAACGCACGCGCGCGCGCGTCAATTTTTTTTTGCTAAACATTCAACTTTTGGCGGGAACGGGAACGTCTCGTACCCACTCCCCTCTCGTACTCTGGCGTTGCCGTCGTGCGAAAATCCGTCGGTGCTAAAGGTCGCTATTAATAGGGGAGGAGCGGTTTCGAGTGTAGAGGGCCAACTAGAAAATGCCAATTAAAATAACGTATAGCTCAAAAAGTCCAAAGAGTTTTGTCCAATATTGTTNTGAGTATTATTACGCATTGTTCTTGAAAATTAATGGAATGTGGTTGTCTTGAATTTTTCGTGTGCTGCCAGGGACGAGGCTGATTTCTTAGGGGATCGCATTGCTATTATGGCTGATGGTCAATTGCGATGCTGTGGATCTTCTCTGTTTTTGAAGAGCAGGTAAAAATCTGTTATTTTGCATTGATTTTCTAGAGTGTTTTGCTTGTCCACAATTTTAATAGTTTATATGCAGTCAGCTAGTTGATCAGTCATGCAGAATCAATCTTCAATCTTTGAAACTGAGCTCTTTTCCATCAGGTACGGCGTTGGTTACCATCTGACATTGGTCAAAAAGGAAGGCTTCAATGAGAACATTGCCATCAATGCTATCAAGCGAGTTGTTCCATCAGCTGAAATCCTCAGCAATGTTGGCGCTGAATTGGAGTTGGTCCTAAACAGAGATGCAGCAAAGTCTTTTGAGTCTTTATTTCTCGACCTGGAAAGTAAGGTTGACTACAAACTTGCACATAGACTAGATTGACATTTACATCACGCCATTTGAATCAGGCAGTTTCATGTAATTTACTCCATTTAAAATCATTTTCAGCGAAGAAAGAGGAATATGGKATTGCCAGCTTTGGAGTGTCTGTCACAACTATGGAAGAAGTCTTCATAAAAGTTGGAGAGGGATCAGAGAAGACCGTCGAAGACATGTAAGCGTATCTATGCATGCAGCAGTGCGAAAGGTTTTCATTTCATGAAACCAAAATTGCATGATATATAATATAATAATAATAATAATATTATAATGCTATTTATATAGCGCTTATCCAATTCTGTTCTAAGCGCTTTAAAACTACATGACAACTACAAAACACATGAGAGTCTTGGTAGACTGTGAGCTTGAGTTGGCGCCTCTGGCTACCGCTGCACAGTCCGTCCCAAGATCTCAACCAAGATCATTCGCGCTTTGACAGGTTTTGTTTTTAGTCCTGCTGGGTGTCATGCCACCCTCCTCACCAGTGTAGACTGGTGGGGTGCCGGTTTAGACGCCGACGACCCGTCCATGAGGCAGCAACACTCAAACACTGGAAAAGGTAAATCACTCGCCTGAAGGCTCGTGATTTACTCTGATCTTTTCTCGTGTTCCCCCAACCATCCCTCGTGGTTTATTTCGCCAGTAACCCGCTTCAAGCCATCGTTTATTGCTTAACTGTAATGGTGGTTGCATTACAAACATTGTGTTCAATACTATATAGTTACAACACTGATCCAAACTCCGTGCATTCCTCGTTAACTTTTCTCACCTTTTTCTCAATTTTGACTTATATTTTTCACTCCCTCGCGATAAAGTTTTAAAAGATCCCTAATAAACAATTCCAATCGTTATAATTATATTTCATCGTTATTAAATTATCTAATTATATTTTAAAATATGAGCATGTAATGTTGTATAGTGACGTTGTTGCCACTCGCTTGGCTGCCTTGCTTCAATTCATTTTATTATTGTACGTTTCAACTTAATACATTCTTATGAAAATTCTCATTTACAGCAACATCCTAATGCACGAAACATTACAATAGACGTGTTCGGTCATCTACATTACTTTATAATGTTTTCTTGATGTTTAGTGCGATTGATCACCATCAACACAGGGATACCGACAATATCATTGAAATGTCAAATAACGGAGAACCTATAATGGGCGGTAAGTACCACGGTGAACATTTGTCGATCGCCTTTATAGTGACCATCCTTTAACTTGTAAAAACTACACGGTGTCCGGAAGCATAAGTTGCACGGAGTTATGGTATTCATATATAGCCTTCCTAGCAGAACACCAATATACTTATTCATTTAAATGATCATGTTGTTTTATTGCTTAGAATTATTGAAAGGGCTTCCATTGAAATGGCAACAGTACAAAGCGATGTTAATGAAAAGGTTTCTCAACTCCAAATTACTAGTGCCTCTTTTTCTGATTCTCTTCGGCTTGCTAATAGCCAATATCAACTTTTTATCGAGCAATGGAAAAGAGCCTCCTCGTGTACTCTGTCTGTCCAACCTGAGCACTGATGACAGCAACGTGCTCGCATACTATGCAGATTTCCACCAACCTGAAAAGGACTTTAAGGTATGGGGTTAAACTCACGTCAGCTGACTGTGATGTTAGGACATTGAAGTAAAGGTGACTTATTAGTAGTGGTAATTTGTAATAATGATCGTAATAGCAATGGTGTACGTAATGGACGTGAGAGCGGAACGATTAGTACACGAAATATTGTTTGATCTGTTGGGTATTTTACTGGGTATTTGATTTTTGGTGGATGATATTCACTCCTGTAAAACATCAATAATATGCTATCCATCATTTAAGTACTCAAATTGATGATGGAAACAACAGTATTGCGGCCTTTCATGATTGGATATCAGCATAACAACTTTTGGTCGTACATTTAAATGACCTTTTTATGTATAAATGTGACAAATGGTGTCTTTAACAATTTACCAATGGATACCATGGTGTATTCTACCTCTTTACAGGTCGCAAGAGATTTCCTTAAATCTATTCGTGTCGATGCAGAAGACATCCTTGATGACGTCAAAGCTATACATTTGGGAAACATGAACAACAGCATTGAAGTCAAAGGAAGAAAATACACCTACACGACGCCCACCAAAAATAAAACTACAGCCTGCTGTCAATATCAGTTTCTCATCTTAAATAAAAAATGCAAAAGTGACGTAAGTACATTTCATGTTTGCAATAGGATGCAGCACAATGCAAGGATTCAACATGATACTCCTCTTTTTTAATTTATAACTGCTGTTTCATTTGACAACAGATTGTCTTGTGCAAACTGAGAACTCTCAATTTATTATTTATCATTAAGCAATGAATATCTCTTTTTCAAATGTTATTAAATATATTTACAAAGAGAAGGAAAAGGGAAAGGAAGAGAATCAGAAAACTGTTCCACGAACCTCATTCTATATATCGCTTTTATTTGTAGCACTAATATTAATTGTACGTATTCTTTTMCTTCAGTTCATGAGCAAATCACTAACTTCTGATACATGCTCTAAGAACAAAAACTTTGGGTACACAAAATGCAAGGAACAGAATTGCTTGCTTTCAAAGTAAGTTTTATGTTTTTTCYTTTGTTTCTTATTTTAACGTGCACTTGAGAGCTGAGCTGTTTGAATCGGGAACTTGTTCTTGGAAGAAAAAAAATCATGAGGGTGCAGTTTATTAGGTAACATATAGTAACACCACCTGTGCCCACAGATATCTCTAAAAGTGTAAGCGAAAATTCTTTTATGTACTACTCTTCGAGAAACCGTCAACTTACAGGCGATTTTGGGCATGAGTTTAGCTTTCCCACTGCAGATGATATTGAAGTATGTCCCGATACGCACGTCTCAAAATTCAGAACATTATATTGTCGTCCCTACTTTAACAAAAACCATATGTTTTACATTGTCTCTTCTTGAATGTAATTTCCTTCACCGACCGCTTATTCGTCAAAACGGACGAAAACCTTAATCAAAGAAGCTTGTCCGTCTTGATGTGATCATGATTGCATTTTGCACTCCGTTCGTTAAAGGCCCACTTGCATCCGAAAGCCTTTGCGACCCTCGCTTTGTTTGAARTTGTGCTGTTGAAAGTTACCTTCTGATGGGCGCAAAGTCAAAAATTGATGTGTTTTTTCGTATATGAGATCGAGCAAAGGTTTTCGGTGGGCCTATAAATCTTTGACGTGTACCATATAAAAACTAATCTATTTCTATCTTTTTTGATTATTATAGCTGGTGTCCAGATTCTTTGGAAAATACAAATCTCGATGACATGAATGTGTACTTCAGTGAATATGTCCTGGAGAAAAGTAACAACAAGGATTACTTTAAGAAACACGTGGCCGGGTTTACATTTGGGCATGCCCATAACATCAAGAATGTCCACACCTCTAATAACGTAACCAATACAACCAAATCTGTTGTTGTCATGCCTGACACAAATTCTACAGTCTGGTACAGTAACAAGGTATAATAGATCTTACTGAAAAAAAGAAAGTTCGCGAAATTGTTGTAATAGCCAATTTGCGAATTTCGGGTCAGTAGACAAATACAAATGAATCAAGGAGACGCATAGGCTCAGTCTCCAGCCGTCGGGATTTCGTGCGCCCGCGATACTCTCTCCCCTGACGGCTGGACGCATGGGGTTCGAAACGTGTCGCGCATGTCCGTGACGTTTTTGTGTAATTAGCATATTATGAATAACGGAAGTGAATTTTTCAGTGAACGGAAGTGAAATATCTGACAACAGCCGTATTAAAAGGTTTTGCTACAAGGCGGGAAATTATGTGAAATGAAAACTTCGCGAAGTGGCGATATAATGTAACAGTTAGCGCTTTAAAAAAGAGAAAGGAATGGAAATCACCCCAAGTAAAACATGTGTAGGGTTTAATAATCCAAATGGATATATTATCTGCCAGAAGGACGAGCAAAATACACTAGTGGCGCTGTTTGAAAAATAAGAGATTTGCCCGAGCCAGTAGGAAGAATAACAAGGACATCTTTTCCAAGAACAATCTCTTTAAGAGCCTTTTGCTGTATTTCTCTAAATTCTTCCAAGCTAAACGACTTCAGAGCGTTCAAACGAGAATCTCAAACGACGAATTGTCCGCCATTTTGTTACACTGCGACGACGGCTGACTGCTAATTTATTAATGATATGCCCCTGAAACTATCGGGGGCCACTCGCTGATTGGTCGAGACTGACAATAGCGAACCCCATGTGCCCAGCCGTCAGGGGAGAGAGTATCGCGGGCGCACGAAATCCCGACGGCTGGAGACTGAGCCTAGGAGACGCACCGTCCATAAAGTTCAGTTTATTATCGTTAAAAACCTTTTTTTCGTGAATAACTGAATTTTATGCACAGCGTCTTGTCTTGATTCCTTTGTGTGTGACTACTAGGGCAAAACTCGCACAATAGCCCTATCAATTGGCATTTTGAGTCGAGGTTAAACGGGTTAATTAGTCTCAATTAAAAAAAAGGGAAATTGTGAAGACTATTGTAATAAAGACACTTTTTCGCGCCTTTTAAGTTTGATAAGGTCTTTGTGCAAGAGAATAAAAGCGGTTATTTTAGATCTTTACATATTTGTGATGCAAACAATATAATTATGTTTTTTTTACTTTAGTTATTTTCTCTAGTTATATTCTCGATCTAAGTTCTTGCTAAAGAATAATCAGAAATCAAAAGCTTCGT